AAATCTGATCCTGGCCTAAAACTGTATATCTGCTGATGAGCGTATATTTTCCCCATTTCAACTAATGTAACTGTTTCTGAAATTATGAAAGCTTTGCACTGTACTCTAAAATGCCTAAAATAGTCTTTAACTTCATGTAAGCGGTATTTCCATGGATACAATGGATTGTCACCCTAGGAGCATTGATTCGCTAACATTCTCAAAATGAGCTGCGCTCTAATAGTATTTCTGTAAATTTGACAATGGAAAAATTACCCGTTGTAATACTTATATAAAATTCTGGAAAGTAGCAAAGTACTAGCATTTAGCCATCAGCCATCTGAAGTTATCCTAAGTAAGTCATTGCGCCTCAGCAACCCAAATTTTTGAAATTCCCTAACCTTTAATTTTTTCAGAGTTTACATTAAACATGTGAGCTGAATCTTCTTTCTGAACTTGGTTTCAGCTTTCAAGTTAACAGGGAGGTACACTTCCAAGGTGTTGGATTGTTTAGTTCAGTTGTGGGGCCAGCTCGTTATTCCGTTGATTTGATATTGAGGTGTTCCCCGTTCGATGAAATTTTGCAACAGGAAATTAATGACTACGTGATTGATGGAACCTCATTAACATTTGAAGCATGTTTGAAGAGGCCTGTAAAGTTAAAGGCCTGCAAAGACTACAGGGTGTTTGTGAAAATGAAGGTAAGACTGCATGTAATCACTCTAAGTTTTTTTCTATTTTACTTCAGCCTTTTTTTTACCTCTTCAGCAGAGTACCGAAATAATTGAAGAGCTTCCTTTCTATTTAGTGAGTGGACTTCTCTCCATTCTGAATTTTCTTCTTCACAATGAATCTGAAGAACCATTCTGACTTATTCATATCTGTGTAAGTCCATATTGCGCCCTAGATTGGCCTAGGAAGTATAGCCAGGCAGGGTGCAGACTGTTCTACAGAGCAATAACTAGTTGCCTTTTCAGCCTCAGAATTCTCTAACTTAGCATGAAGGTTTCCAGTACACTATGGGGCAAAAAATGTCGGAAACAAGCGCTTTATTTTATTGTTTCTACCTTTTTTTTACAAAAAAAGAAAGAGGAAAAATCGCCATCATCACGAAATTACCTCTAATGTTTACAAATTTTCCCATGCACCTGCGCATTTATTGAACTCCTGTAGCCAGGTCAGGTCATAGAAAAACCTTCATCTTGTGATTCAAAGAATGTTTCTTTCTGTATTTTTACATATGGCATTGCAAAAAGATCGTTGCCAGACTCTATTGAAGTATAATTTACTCTATTTACAGGGTCCACCTTCTTTTTACGGAAAGAATGGAGTTGGAGACATTGAGGTTCGATTGCCACATGAGCGAACTGTCACCGTCAGTTTCTCTAGCTTTCAGCCAACTAAAAAGCGCCGCACAAATGTTTACACTGGACAAATTCCAGAACTAATATTTACCACTTAAATTTTTAACACCCCTTATTACTTTCTGTTCTACATACTTTTTATGGCGAGATTTTAGACTTATCATGAACAGATTTATTTTTGAATGTAAATGATTTTTAGTGCCTTTCCTGGCAGACACTTCTCAGCATTGACTTTTATCTATCGTATTCTTCTTCCTAAGTTGTGTTCTTCCTAACTTCTCCCAAAGTGAAATGCATGAAAAGTCGTGTTTTCGATGTGCTCCTTGTATTAGCTGAAAGCAATTCCCGTCAATTCCCACTTGAAGGTTGCAAATTCTTTTAATTATTTTCTGTATGCATTTTACCAACTAATGGGTCCTTTACACCCTAACTATCTGCTTTTCGTGTTTTTTTTTTTTTTTTTTTTTTTTTTTTTTTTGTGTCTGAGCTCAAAGACTTCAAATGTTCCTGTAAATTTTCTAGTGGAAATCGGGCCTCTTACACCCGAAAAAATCTATGTTTTCTGTGCAATATCTCTGAGCTCTCAACTTTTAATAGGCTACACAACTTCCTTTTAAGTCTGTGGCCTTCACCAGAGTCTGTAGATCGTCTTAAATAATAAAGCCTCTGGCCGTGTGCCCTCCTCCCTCTCTTTTTTTTCTTTAGTTCTCTGTAATTTTCACTTTTCAATCAGCCTCAACCAATGAAAACCATGGTTAGTTGATGACTGATGTTAAAAAACTTCAGAACATGATCTTTTAGACTCATGAGAAGCGAATTCTGAGGGCTGCTATGTCTTGCACTTTGCCTGTTGTCAGCAAACCAGAATTCATGTCTCAAGCCAAGGAAAATACATATGAAAAAGTTGGAGCTTCAGAAGAAATTTAGGATTCATTTGGAATGGCCTACACATCCCACAATGAATCATACCGATAGTGAAATTCGTGCCAAGAAGTGTCTTCAGTGAAATATTTCAAAGTACTTGAGCCCAAAGTTTTTCTCTGTGATTATTTTCAGTTAATCCTAACTGTATTATTAAGTAAATTACAGAGAAAGCTAAAATCAGTCGGACCTCGTGACACAATGTTTCTCGTGGAAACAAACTAGCCTTGGTCTATTTATATCAGAATAAGGTATAAATTTACATTTATCAGTGCAAATTTATATCATTTTAGTTAAGCGCTTTTAATGAAGTGCAAGTATTTGTAATTTAATGTTTGCATCTTAGAAATTTAGGTCATTGACTGTCAGGAACAGATGTGTGTTTTCATTGCCAAAGAATAAACAATTGGTCAAATGTAAGTCTGTGAATTTTCTAAATTTATGTCTAGGTTTCAAGAAACTGTGCTAAACCTATAAAATTGCTTTCAAGTACTCAAAGAGATTTTTGAAAAGAAAAGCGTAAAAATACCTATCAGTGATAAAATATAATGAGGTGATGGATTTCATCGTTGACAATCATTTTTTAAGGTTTTAATTTGGAAAAAGATAAAAGATCCTCTTTGAATTCAAAATCTTTCAAGTAGCTGTGAAAAGTCTGCAAGTGCTTCTCAGGAGAGTTAGAACTAGGAGAATCTTAGTCAACTCAGGGAGTTGATTATATTGTAATAAAAAACGTTTCTGTGTAGAAAATAAATTCAAATATTCAAATTGATTATATTGTAATAAAAAACGTCTCTGTGTTGAAAATAAATTCAAAGATTCATATTTGGAAATTCCCAAAAGTGTAGGCCAATAACCAATCTCAAAATCTTTTCCAAAATCGTGAATGCTTTCACTGATCGTGGCCGCATAACTTTCGGACTAAATCGCGAACGTGTAGTCTTCTCGCAAAATGGGCCTGTTGCAAACTTTTGCTAGAGCAAAAATAAGAGTTGTTACTCATAAAAAGTGTCTTAAAAATCACGAGCGCATCGGCAAAGTCGGAAATGCACTCCTTAGTTCACAATTTGCGTAAGAAATTTTCGTTTTTTCGAGCCTCCCGCTTCAAAAACGATACCACGGCACAGATGAACATTTTGTCAGAGGAGTCATTCCATCCAACCCTTACTCACAAGGATACTACGCAATATTCAACATAGTCGACGCCAATCCGCCAAAACACATGTAACGGGACGATGATTCTAACCACCCGATAACAATCTGCGTGTTTAAATTCACATTTCTCTTGTGTTGATAAATATCCGCCTCGATTGACCTCATGCTCTCCTCAACTTGCGCGCGGAAGCGTTGGCCATGTTGAGCAGGGACTGAATGGAACGACTCCTCTAACGAAATGTTCACCTGTGACATAGTATCCTTCTTGAAACAGGAATCTTAAAGAAACGCAAATTTTTTACGCAGTTTGTGAAGTTAGGAGTGAATTTCAGAGTTTGCCGATGCGCTCATCAGGATTTTTGAGACAGTATTTATAAGGAACAACTCTTATTTTTGCTCTAGCAAAAGTTTGCAACAGGCCCATTGCGAAGAGTGATCAAGGTTGAAACATATCTTTGCTTAGTTATGCTCACTAAAATTTAGGGGGGGGGGGTGTTACCTGACTTCCCTAAACTACGCTCCCTCTCTTGATGTGTTCCGCGATCTCACATTCTCTGCATCTCTGGGTAGCACCAGCCTGGGTCTCTCTTTAATTTTTATCAGTGCGGCTAATCTTTCCGTACAAAAAAAAATCTTTTTCTGAACAAAATCTGCACTTTTTGAATCTTTTAGTCATGCCAGCAACCTTTTTTGCTCTCAGAATGGTGATATAGATGGTCACGTAAAGTTTCAGAAATTACAAAAATTTTGTCTATTTCTCTTATTGTGAAATCATCAAATTCTAACTCAAACATACAGTCTACCACTATCATCTTGAATTGTTGCCTTGAGTCGTTGTTGTTGTCTTGAATTGTTGCTTTGATTTCTTTGTACCAAAAAGAATTGTGGTGAACCTTAGGTTTTTACTCTCAAATACAAAGCTAGTTTTGTCATATGAGTCTGTGTAGCTGAGTTTGTGAGAACGAGGAGGTAAAATCGAAAACAAAGGAAAACGGACGACCTGGAAACCGGGAAAGGAGCCAGTCAATACAAACTGGTGATTCAGTATCAGAAAAGAAACTAATTTTTGGTTTAGAAGTATGGCATCCAGGTATATTCTGGTGTCATCATCTTTTTTGAAAAATCGAAGTGGCTATTCGTCGGCACGGTACCGACGGATAAATGGCTATTCGTCGGTACCGTACCGATGAATAAATAGCTATTCGTCGGTACCGTACTTTGATTTTAGTACGTAAATTATATTAAAGATATGATTTCTTAATATTATTTTGGTGGAAGTTAAGAGCTAAAAATTGGGTGAAAGATGGAAAAAAAACCCAACACGAGTTGTAAAGAAATATTCTCCAAATTTAATTTATGTATTTAATACTCTCACATAATACTGAAATGTACTACTCTGTCAAATAAATAATCATAATACTGAAAAGTACTTCACTGTCAAATGAATCATCATAATAATGAAATGTACTACTCTGTCAAAAGAATCATCAAGAACGCTTCTTTTTTCGGGTGGTGGGGCCTTTAGTTTCATTCGCAGGTGTTTTCTTTCGTTTTCGTTTTTCGGGGGGATTTTCCACAGATTGTCGGTCGGCAATGGTGCGATTAAAGGAACAAAGTTGTCTTGCTGGCAGTTTAGGTCGCCCTCGTGAAATGACTTTACTCTTAAATTTTAGCTTCGTGAAGCTCTCTGCACTGACATTTTCGTCAGATGGAGCAGCAACAGAAACCGAAGATTCGCTAGTGGTGGAATAGCTCTCTGCACTATGATCGTTGTTAGTTGGGGCAGCAACAGAAACCGAGGATTCGCTGGTGGTGGCATAGCTCTCTGCACTATGATCGTTGTTAGTTGGGGCAGCGACAGATACTGAAGATTCGCAAGCCGTGGAGCAGCTACCATGAACTGACAATAGTTGTACATTTGTAGCACTTAGTATCTCCGTGTAATTACAACAGAGCACCATAGATGGCGTTTGCTTGTCCATTCGGACCAAGGCTTGACAACACATTTTTATTAATTAATGTCGCCGATGCGGTACCGACGAATAGCCATTTATTCATCGGTACGGTACCGACGAATAGCCATTTATTCATCGGTACGGTACCGACGAATAGCCATTTATTCATCGGTACGGTACCGACGAATAGCCTCATCCTTGAAAAATAGTACATTGGGACTCGAGTATAGACCTCTGCCTCCCTCCAGGATTCCAACATCAATCCAATTTTGGATGGCTTTTGTAATTTTTGCTATCCAGACATGTGCCCATCTTCGTTGAAAACTGGCACAATAGAATTCCAGCATAGACTACTGCTTTTCTCCAGGACTCCAGCATCTATTAAATTCTGGATAGCTTTTGTAATTTTCGCTCTTTCCCCTAAAACAAGTGGCCAAGATTTTCTGCAAAAAACCTTGTAGTACTTAACTTTAAATTTTGTAACATGTTAAATGTTAATTACATTTGCCAAGTGTTTCAAAAAAAGTATCTCTGTTTTCAGAATTAATGATGTTAAAAAATTGGCATGGTGTTCCACTAGAACAAAGAGTTTCGACATGTTTGAATTCAGCATCGGTCAGCTCAAGCCAACTAATCTACAGACTAAATCTGTCCATAATTTAAGTCAATATTAATATCAGATTTTAGTATGTTTCTCCCTCAACAACCTTTTGAATTCAATCAATTTTATTCAGCTGTTACAAATGTTGCATTTCTTAATTTGTTTCCACTATCACATTAGCACGCTTAAGTTTTTCCTATTGGTTTGAATGTAAATCTTAAGGGTGAAATCTAAGTGATGGAATGCAGAATCCCATCAAAAACATTTCCATGTAAAGATGAACCGCCAAGCTAAAAATATGAACGTTCATCCCCCGAAATGCAGTGATGTCTCACAAAATAGTCACCAAGTAATTTTCATTAATATTAATTTAAAGTTTCTCCTCCCTTCAACATAATTATCGAGAAAACACAAAATAAAGAAAAAAAAAAGAAAGTAGGTACAAATGAATCAATTTTTTTTTGTACAATGGTAAAAAAAGTTAAAACATAAAAAAAATAATAAAATTAAAAGAAAACATGATAGATGGACAATCTAAACAATGTTGCTTCAGGGGTTCCCAAATTTTGCGCGCAAAAAGAAGCCCCTTCCCCACAGCACAAAGCAACTTCGAACAAAATGCGATGGTTGCTCATTTTCACAATATGTTTCGAGTGTTGCCTCCGAACAAAATACGACTCTGTCCAGCTGTTTTAGCAGATTAAGGTCAGATTTGATCTGAGAGTTTGTTTTGTTCCTATTCAAATTGTTGATTCTCGCTTTATACACTACAATATCACCGGAATGTAGTCTCCATGAGACGCTGGTTAGGCTCCAAAGGACTACACTGAAAGGTGTGCTAAATTGAGTCCTGACATTTACTTTTATATCAAACTAGCAGGAAACCCGTGCTACGCACAGGAAAACCCCCACCATCAGCAATCACTGTGATTAGTGATCAGTTACTAATTGTGTTTCTGAATTATTTTTTACTATTTCAAAATTGGCGAGACGCACTGGTTTGATGAAAATGCAGAGCTTAGTAGTATGCTGATTAAAGCTGCTATTTTGGTCTGTTCTGCAGTAAGCTCATATGATCATTATAATAATCAACAATACCCAATCAAAAGTTGGTTATTTTCATAAAGATGTGTTACTTTTGTCAGTCCAATGTTTAATTGAAGTTACAGCTGGTGAGTTTCAGCCGCGAAAATTACGGGATTTAACCAACGGTTTCGTTTAATTCTCAGCAATGGCGGGTTTGTCATCGACATCGCGGAGAAAACGTGATTTTTCCAGGGATTTTGAAAAACAAATTAGAAATTACACGATAATCACCACGATATCACGGCAAATACGTCGTGTTCCTGGCGAATTTCTAATAAGAGTATTATAATTGCGCGTTATTCAAATCAATATCGTGGCATACACGCGAATTTCTTACTCAACTAAGACTACGTAAATGTGCGCATAAAACTCATAAACATCTGTTACTTGGGATGGGCGAAAACGTATGATTTTCCTTCAATTTTTTTATGATACCACATACCCACTCCGGAGTTCAAATAGTTGCTCGCTTCATTTCTGCTTGTTAAAAGTGACGAATTGCAAGAATCCAATCTCGATTTTACGAGAACTATGGGATGTAACCATCGGTTTCCGTGTATAAGATTTAATGCTTTGAAATTAAGAAAAAAAAAGGAAAAAACATTAGCGATGATCCAAAATTTTGCAAGTATGACTCATGTGTTTCGGTAAACTATGATAGAAACAGAAAGCAGGTGGAGAATGTCGAAACGATGTTCTAGTTTTGCTCTGCTGTCAGCACCGCGTCTACAGGCGCTGTTCGACCGAGCCGTCATCACAGTACAGAACGCCTTCAATATAGCAAGCAGCAATGTGGACATCCCCCGTGGTGAAATAGTTGTATCAAGAGCGCCTTCCACGATCGGAGTCAAGTATTGATGAAATGCGCGCAAAAACCCCGCTTCTCCTCCGATTGCAACGTTGCACACCGTCTTTATGTTCCATTTGGGTTTATTTATTTTATTTTTGAAGCCAAACAACAGCTTCTCTCAAAATTTTTCGAGAATTCGCCTAAATCATTTCAAAACAGAACTA